CTGTTAGACACAGGAAAACTGAGATGAAAAGCCGTACCTAATGTTTTAGCGTGACAGTTGTGGTGACACTGCTGTAGTATACTTACGCGTCCATAATCACAGAGAGTAGCACTTTTCGTCAGTTGTCTGTTGCATATGATGCTCACGCCTAATTGGTTGTCCTTTAGTCGATGTCACTGAAGTGTGTGACATTACCTGGACTGCTTCAAGTCTGAACATCTCTGAGTGTAGTGGCACCTACGTGACATGCGTATTACACGCGTTACTGACTGGTGACCTCATGTTTTCTTGGCATGAATCTGTCACAAGTAGCTAGAGCACAAGAAAAAGGCGGCTGTCTGGATCGGAGAGGAAAATACCACCCCAAACCCAGTTCTGCAGTGTGGAAGCCCTCTGTATCGAGACGGTGTGGATACATGATGTGCACCGTGAGATTAGTAACAATCATTGTGGTGATATAAATGGTTTTATTTCTTAATTTAATTTTATACCAGAGCACTTTTTTTTTTTTTTTTTCTTTTTGTGACAGGGTCTTGATACGCAGTTCAGGCTGGCTTTGAGCACATTTTTGTAGCCTAGGCTGATTTTGAACTTGCCGTGATCCTCCTGCCTCAGCCTCCTGAGTATTGGGATCCCAGGTATGCACCGCTGTGCCTGACTCAGAGCATCTTTAAGTGAGAAAACCTTGTTGTGTTATTTCTAGAAAACTTAACCATTTGACAATGGTCAATGTAAACATATTACAGTAGCATATTTTGAACAACAGTTTTCAGGTGTCTCCTATAAAGGCTGTAGAGACGATTGGGACCTCCCATTAGTGAACAAAGACTGGATCCTCCTTATTCATCACCTGGGGTCCTAACCAATAGTTTCTCCCCACCCTAGGGATTTTTGTTTAATTATCTTAATTTTTGGTGACTTATGAGAACCTGATCACAACACACAACAGTTATTATTATTATTAATCATTTACTTATCTGGTATAGGATCTCACTACACAGGCTCTGCCTCCCATGTGGGTGAGTGGGCTTGGCGTCATCTCCCATGAGCCACTGTTGAGACAAAGGGAAGGCAAATCTAAAGGACAGTGTATTCTGCCTGTCACCCCACCACTCAGCCGACTGGGGTGGGGGTGATGGCAAGTTCAAGCCCAGCCTGGGAAATTGAGCAACTTAGACCCTGTCTGAAAGTAAAAGGGCTGGACATGTAGCTCAGTCTGAGGGCTCTGGTTCAGTCCCTTGTGCTACAAAAAGTAAAATCACAGACACATGAATACACACAGCACGGTGGAGAAACAGTGAATGTTTCTGGCGTTGCGCAGGCATGCGGCGGTGAAGCCTGCTGCCGCTGGCCTCCCTCATGATCCTAGCACGCTGAGCCCATTGTTTCTGCCACTTTCTGAAGCAGCTCCAGAAGGCCTCTCCTGTCTTACACAGTGTGATAAAAAACGCCGTGAATGTCGCTGCCAGTGCTGCCCCGAGGAGGGCTGGTGGGCCTTTGTAGCATGTCCTCATGCGGCCTGCACACTGGTCCTGCGCCGCGAGAGGCTGTTTCTTCCCAAAGCCAGAGTGATTGTGTTGGGGCCACATGTGGACACTGATTCAGCCAGAACAGTCAACGGGCATGGGAGGACTTTTAGAGAGAGAGAGAGAGTATGTAAGCACTTGGTGGGAAAAACCCTAAAACTAAAACAACTTCACTTCGCACAGCTCCCCAAGAGGCGACAGTGCAGGGACAGGACGCTGCGGCCCTCTGGAGCACTTTCCTCCACCTGGGAGCACCTGTCATGGGGACCAGGGAGCGAGGCGCCCATAGGGAAAGGGTGCTTGTGCATCGCTCATGGCTGGCAGGCCGCCAGCCAGCGCGTCCTTCTCTCAGGAGTGCGGAGACAGGCTCAGGCTTCGTGTTCTAGGTTAGGGCGTTGCTGTCCGGGACTGGGACTTTGTGACACAAAACAGCAGCAGATGTGGGAGAGGCTGGGCTGGGCTGAGGGGACCTGGCTGTCTCCCTGTGTGGTGCTGGCACTGAGTAGCGGAGGCACCACATTTCTCAGGCTGCGTTGTGGCCACGGTGCAGGCATCTGTGGAGGTACTCCGATCACTGCCCTCGTGGGGCCTCGGTTTCCCTGGCTGCCTTCGGGGTCACTGTCAGGATTTGCTGGCTGTGCCCCAGTACCCTGGTCTGGTGCTGCGCCGGGGGTGACTCAGCAAGGGCCACCTTGGAGCCTGGGGATCCCAATGCCCCCAACCCTCCACATACCGCTGAGGGTGTGTTATGTGACCTGGCGTCAGTTTTGGACCCTGGGTCGGCTGCCCTTGAGGCCCCCTGTGGGAAGCCACGCTGCCACCGCTCTGCTCCTGCTGCCTCGAGTAAGGCGAGTGTCCTCTGGCCTGCAGCAGCATGACTCATGGCAGGCCCTGCGGGGGCAGTGCTGGTGCTGATGGTGGGGGCCGTAGGGCGGCCAGCAGTGTGTGCTGTGGGCTGGGCCGGTTGGGTGTTTGTTCCCTGCCCAGGCGGGTCTCACCTGAGCCAGGGGAGTCCCGGGATTGGTGGGATGTGTGGCTGGTGGCTGGGGGTGTGGCAGTGACGAAGGGGCTGCAGAGGCTGAAGTAGGCGGTGCTGTCACATGCACGGCCTCTCCCAGCCTCATGGCTGACTGGCACAGAGCTGGCAGTGCTGAGCACCTGGGGCTGGCCTGGCCCCGGGGCCACCCGGATCCCGACCCCTTCCCAGTGCTGACCGTTTCCATAGGAATGAGGTATTGTCTCCAAACAGCTGGATTCCTGCCCACCTTGTTCTGAACCCCAGCCTGACAGGCTGCGTTTGAGACTGAGGGCACAGGGGGTCATCGTCTCCCAGAAGGTGGAGCTGCTGAAGATAGGAAAGCGCTGCCTTGGTGCCCGAGTGAGAAGTCTGGGGAAGCTGGGACCAGACCTGCCACCGCCGGGGCTTCACCTGTCCCTGCCTCCCTGCCACAGCCCCGTCTGTCTCTGTGGCTTTGTAATGTCTGACCTTTTGCGTGTGTGTGTCTTTTGCAGAGTACGGCGTTTGTGAGAACTTGCGGAAGCTGGAGATCACAGGCGTGTCCTGCCGGGATGTCTATGCCAAGCGTGAGTTCGTCTGCGTGTCCTCAGGGGCTAGGTCGCGGGCCGAGCCTGCCGGTGCGTGCTGTGCAGTGACTGCCGTTGCGCTTGCTCGGGTGCCAGCTGCGGCCCAGCTGTGTCCCTGTGCTGCGCAGGGGTGCAGCCCGAGAGCGGGTGTGGCTCTGCTCTCTCGGGCCGGCAGCAACCTCATTTTCTAGCCCATCATGGTTCAAGACATTTTTTTTGTATGGCACCAAGAATTTTATTATTTATTTTATTTATCTTTAGTTTTTGCAGATGCCGGGAGCCCAGCCCAGGGCCTCGTACATGCTAGACAAGCACCAGCCTCTGATACACACTTCCATCCCTTATATTGTGTGTGTGTGTGTGTGTGTGTGTGTGTGTGTGTATTATTGAGACAGGGTCTCGCTGTGCAGTTCACACTGGCCCTGAGC